TTTGGCTGTGATCAGAAATTCGAAGCACAAGTTGTCCCTTAAAATCTGTCGTTGACTGTACCTGCCGGGGTCTCCTTTGCAATACAATTTGGCATTCGTGACAAGAATATATTACTACCTCTGTCCGTGAAAACATGCCCCGAATCAGTATATTTCAGAAATAAACTTGAAGCTGGTCGAATTATTGTATTCTGAAAGCACACCTGTGATTGGCTTGAAGCGACGAACACCAATGATATGGATTCGTGGCAAAATACACCCAATCACAAACATACCAACCAAACGAAGACGTAATACTTTAAACAAGATAACATAGACAACAAACCTGTACGGACGGTATCCGGAAGTCCGGTTACGACTTCATCCAGATGATTTTCCGCTTATTCGGACACATACCGCCTAATCTGCGTGTCAAATTCCAATGCGCGCCAAAAGAAAGGACCTCACCGACGCTGACCGCAGCGGTATACTCCACCAACTCTTGGCTCGCATGGTAAACCATAAGGCTCTGCCACGTGAAGCCCTTACCGACTTAGCCATAACGTTCAACGTCGACAGAAGCATTGTACGTCGCCTGTGGAACCGTGCGTCCGTCGACCTCACCAACCACTACCGTGTTGGTGTTGATTCTGACACCAACAATGATGGTTTTAACCTGCTGTATGCGACTGACATGGACGAAAAAGTGGAAGAGTTGGCACTGGAAATTTCTAAGGCCATGGAAGTGTACGAGTTTAGCTCTCAGATGAAAAAGTTGGCTGACGATGAGGAATTGGACGACGACATCGATGCCGACTTGGCCAACATTTTATCCCTCTAATAAACACTTGATTTTTGTATTGTAACTTGCCAACCAATTTGCTGTAGAGATAGTGGTACACTTGGGGCAAGTAATTTCGGAACTCAGATTTCGAGTTGGGGGCAAGTTTTCACGGACAGAGGTAGTACACCTCAAGTTGTGTTAGTATATACAGTACAGCGTACTTTCTACGGATAAACGAGAGCAATAGGGAGATTTCGTAAACTCTCCGTTCCCGTTGCCGTCCCTGTACACTGTTTGAAATTATCTTTGTATGGCATGACCTCTGCAATTTGATTTAAGTTCCCGCAGAAATGGCAAGTTCTACGGACGACCTTTCCGTCCCACCTTTCCGTCCCCGTACAATCGAAAAGGAAGTATGCCTAAACCTGAAAAGCGCCGAAATTGGTCCCACGACGATGACATGATGCGTTTGGTACAAGCTGCAGCTGATCAGCCGTTTGCGACGGGCAAAGGGCAAGTGTCAAAAGCATGGCAGGCACTAGCCGAGACCCTCATGACAAGTGATGCGTTCACGCGCGTTGTGGATGGGAAAAAAGTACAGTACCGATTTGGACTCCTTATCGACGAGCACCGACGTTTTGACGTGGCCTCGGCAAAGCTCTCTGGAGTCGACGAGGAAGATTCCGAGAAGCACATGATCTTGGACGACCTTCTTGCTCGGCTGGAGGAGGTAAGACTCCTCGCAGCGTCGAGGTCAACGAAAACAAGTCAAGAGAAGGACAAGGCGGAGCAAGGCGGGCTTGTTGTTCGTGAAATGGCGATGCAAACACTCAAGCGACGTCAAGAGGTTTCTGAAGAAGGTGCGAAGATAAGAAAGAGTGGGGAGAGTGGACGCACGAGTTTGTTTGCAGCGATTGAAAACGAAGGTGAGCGTGACCGTTCAAGTCGCGACAAGGACTTGGAGTTCAGACGACTGAAGTTCGAGACAGAAATTCGGCAACGAGTGCTCCAGCCTACTCACCCGCAGCAACGTGGCGTCGTGACGACTGCCCTACAAAGGGCCAAAGAAGTGCGTGCACAGGCCATCGGGAGTGGTAAGGCCTTGAAAATTCAGGCAATGTCGACGTTTATGCCCGAAGTAAGCTGGAGGATGCCTTGTCAGGCCAGCGCACTGACCATGAAGAAGAGGACTCGTTGCACCCCATCTTTGATCGGTTTGCTGCCTACGACAGTGTCAACTCAATGACAAACTTCTCGCTTGTGGAATTTGAAAGCTTGTGGTTTGCCATCAAACCTCATGTACTGCGTACCTGGAATGTTGGAAAAGGCCGGAAGTGTCCTCAAACTGGCAAAGACATGCTTTTCATGCTCCTGGCAATCATCAAATCTGGAGGGACGTGGGAGTTCTTGGCAGTCCTCTTTGGTTTTCAGGCGCCAACGTTTGAGGAAATGATGACACGGCTCTTGTCCAAGATTCACCAACACGTCTACGACTTGTTTGTTGAGGACGAGGTTGCCGTTCGTACAATGAGTTACCTGGTTGTACTGGAAAGACATTTCAAAACTTCCCCGCAGCACTCTACGCAGTTGACGCAACGTTTCAGCAAAGCAACAGACCGCTTGGCAACCATAACGAGGCCTTGTTTGCCTTCAGTGGCAAGCACCATCTGTACGGGAAAAAGGTGGAGGTGTCAGTGCGTCCGTCGGGATATGTGTTGCACGTTAGTGCACACGTACCGGGTTCGGTACACGACAAAACGTTGTTCGATCAATGCAACTGCTTTCATGGGACGGCGCGCAAGAAGAGACCCAATGAACTTAATCTCGAGGATTCCTGCCCTGTGCGCGAGGAAGTCCCAAATGAGTGGGCCGTGCTTGGTGATCGAGGTTATCAAGGAGTTCAACATGTGTTTCGAGCAATTCTGCCAGTCCGAGCGACTGAAGAAAACCGATTGTCCCTGCAAATAGACAATAGCAATCAACGTATTGCGTCAGACCGGATCATTGTTGACAATTGGTTTGGTCGACAGTGCACTCTCTGGGGTGTTGTTGCTGACAAGTACAAGTGGAGCAACGAATTGTACGACCCGATTTTCAGATTTTGCTCTGGCCTCACGAACTACCACATTCGCTTTTCGCCGTTGCGTTCAGACGATGGTGACAATTACCGGCGCATTTTGAATAGTTTGCAGCACATTCATGAACAAATTCGTCGCAAGAAGAGACTCACCCAACAGACGTATCGTGCACGACGTCAAGCTCGTCGCCAGGTGTCCAAAATCGACTTTCCTGCAACTCCATGATGCATATTCAAAAAGACTCACTGTGGCGGGCGGCATCGAGGGGACTTCAACAAAAACTATAAACTTTTGGAAAAAGTTCACAACGTGCATCCACAATCAATTTTTCCTTGACCTGAAACTTTATAGGAGCCACGGACATAAACACGCAACCTTGTCAAATATTGTATGTCTCAGAACCCTCCAACAA